GCATTCATAGTTCAAATAACCTTTGGTTAGCAATGATTAGATTTTTATCCTGAACTGAGAATGAAAGAGGCATGGCAATTATTATGTTTGTCTATGGCATCATCACTTCACCCATAAATTCTCTTCACCTGTCTTGTGAAGTTAAAATAATTTTCTAACAGGTTTTATGTATTTTCCCCCCATTTCTTTAGAATCTCAAGATTCAGGCTATCTTTATTTTTGTTTCCGATGGCTTCTAATAAGATTTAAAAGAGAATTTAGTTTTCAAGATATTCTTCGCTTATGGGAGGTAAGAAAAGTAGTGGTTTTATGGCAGCATTTAAATTTTGATGCACTGGCTTAAATGCAGAAAACTTGATATTCTAGAGAACAAATAAACTATTTTCATTATTTTTTCCTGGTATAATTTATTTTCCCCTAAAAAGTGGAAAATTCTTTCATGACTCTGATTATTAAGTTGTGGAAATATATCTAAGTTGAATTATAGTTCAGCTAAAGTGTTCAAGTTTTTAAAAACATAGTACTGGAATATTTGTTAATAGCACAGAATACAATGTTAAGAGATCACCTAATGAACGGTGGCCAGATCAGGCATTGCATGATCGATTAAGAGCTCCAAAAGCAGATGGACCAGGACTCATTTTTGTGGGGATCTGAAGTTTTAAGTGGGAAAATGGGTGTTTTAAGCACCTATAAACTTGTTCTCCTTAACATTATCCCTACTCATACACACTCAAACTGCAAAAACAAAACAAAATAAAACAAAAAAGCCAAAAACTTTGACATGACCTACTCTGGGGAACATAAAAGAAATGCTGGCAGGCCGTACTTTTTGTATCCCTTATGCCACTTTGCCCACCAAAAGGTAACAATCCTGTTAGAAGATTTTGCCTTTATTTTTTTAGTCCCAAAATGGTGACCTAAAGTTTATATTTTACATGTAATTTATATGAAAAATAAATTTATCATTAAATTGAATAAACTAGAATATACACAGTATTGCAGTAAAAAGTGTAGAAAAATTAGAGGACATCCAAGATACAGATACTGTGGGGTGTCATAAGGAAAAGTTTAAGATTTATATATACATTAATACACTCCTTCGAAACCAAACAAAACCAAGTTATTTAAATAATCCTGGAGAACTAATAACGTTTTAGCTTTTTTTAGTCATGTAAAAGGGAAATCATAACAATGGTATCTACTTGAAGGACAGAAGCTGGAAAGATTCAGTCTTTCTGTAACAATGCTGTATTGGATCAGGTTACAGAGAGAAGAGATAGTGGGACTATAACCATTTATCCTTTGATCTGATGTCTAGTGTGCAAGCTATCACATATTATCAATTTTTAGTCATGCCCATTATTATTCATTGCCTTCTTTGGAATCATTCCACTTTATCTACTTTCTTTTTAAAGTAGAGTGCCTAGCATTAGATGTAGACTTTTAGATGAGATCTGACTAATGTAGAATTATATCTTCTGGAAACTGTAGCTCTATTAAAACACTCTAAAATATTATTGCCTGTTTTGGTGTACCATTGCACTATTGATTCATGTTCAGCTTATGGAACAGTTCATTATTTACTATATATCAAGATAAGTATTTTTTTCTTAAATATAAAACTGCATTTATCTCTTTAATTTTATTTTGATGCATTCCAATGTCCATTTTTATTATATTTATTCTTCTGTCTGTAGTGTCTTTAGTTCTCTCCCTTTTCTGTGTTGTCTGAAAATTTGATAAAGGTTCTACCTACTTCTTCATCTAAGTCATCAATAGTGCTCCACTCCTCTACCTTCTTCAAGTTTATGAGAAGCCAACTTTACCTTTTCTTTTTTTTTGGAACCAGTGATGTATCCAGCTGATGGTAGGATACTTGTAGGTGGATGCAGATGTTACACATTAATGACCAATTAATTCTCTCCTTTTCCACCAAATGGGATAGAAATTTGAAAGTAGTGCTACATATCACTGTCCTTGTTAGTCAAATTATGCAAATCATAGTTAATGATATATTCAAGCTTACCTTATTTTGACTCTTGTTTTTTTTCTTTTCCTCCTCCCCCAATTTCTCACTACAATACAGTACTCAAACACAGTAACATTCTCTTTTCTTAGATGTGATTTTTCAAGGCAATAGTACTATTAACAGCTTCATGATGTTCTACTTTTGTTAAGGCCAGAGCAGTCCTACTTGCTCCTAATTAACTGCCTTAGACATTCTCAATTCAGCAGAGTGAAATTAAAGGAGAAATAGCTCCCTTTGTACACAATGGGAAAGAAATACTTTAGCCCACTGAAGGGCTGCTTTTTCCTCCAGGTGGAGGATATTCATTATTTAGCGCTCTCTTCTGACTCACCATTACCACCCTTTCCTTTTTCTGTCTCCTGACTTAGAGCGGTATTTTCAGGAGAGAATGGCTACAGATCTTTAAGCACTTGGAGGAAAAAAATCTAATCTATTCAGTGGGTTCTGGAATAGTGCCCCAAGGGCCATAAGATTGTGGCCTAAACTGGGCAAGTCCTTTTATAGTAAGATAATTGGACAAAGGTAAATGCTTGCCCTGGAAATTCAGCTTCACAGTCTCTGTTTCTTTTCTTATCACCCCACTATTAGTATAAGGAAGATCTGCCTGCCTTACTGCTTGGAAACCAACAGTGTACCCCACTATTTGAGGGACAATGTAATGAGAAATTATTTTTTTCCCCATTTTCTGTAGTTTTTGCAAGATGAATACAGAGATGAGATAATATCCACTATAAAGAAAATAAAAAGGGACAAGGAGTTCCAGGATGTCAAATGTCGAGGGGCAGACATGAGAAATATTAATGAAAATGTGGAGTTTTAAAGTCTCACGTGAAATGGGTCATAGTTAGATTTTTTTTTCAAGGGAAATCTTAAAGATAGGTTTAATTATGTATCTCTAATGTTTCTAGACATTTCTTTTTTACCTTCTCTGGATTCCTGTTCCTCTTTGTTTTCTCTCCTAGTGAAGAATACACAAATTCATTCTTAGCCATGTTGAAGTAGTTTTGTTTCCTGACAGCCTATGTTACTTACCCTATTATGCCAATTTTTGGGTTTTGTTCCCTGACTTTCAGTAACATGTATTTCCATGTAATAATTTTTAAGCCTTATTAGAAATATATAAAGTTAGTTGTAGATGGCTGATGCTAACAGCACATTAATTGCTCTGCCTTTTTTCTTGTCAGGGCCTTCAGAAAAATCTGTAATAAGAAATGAGCTATACATACAAAATACAATACCTTGCTTATGAACTATATAGATAAGGTTGATTGACATGTAAATTGATTCAACTGAAATATCAATACACACATACACACACACACGGCATGGAAACATTTATTATATGACAAAAAGTTTAAGAGATGAGCTAATGCAGTGGTTTTTGTTTTTATTTTATTTTATTTAAAACATTTGTATGACGTCCCATCTTAGAGTGCAACTTTGGACAGCTCTCACAACCACCATAAAACCATAAAACAATTGATATGCAAATTCCATTAACTGGAGAGCCAGGATGGGCCTTTGCATGGCACATCAAAGGCTCCCAGGTGATGGAAACAGTGTGTTGGGGAGAATTTGGAGTATTAATGAGTGATTTGGATGTTGTAAGCATAATCCTGACCTACTGTGATTTTGCAGAGCAAAATTTAACAATCCTATACAAAATCCTTACTTTCATTGTTTTTAACATCCAAAATTATGACTTAAAAAATAAATGGGTACAAATATGAATAAATTGAGTTGCATTTAAAAATGTATAGAGGTGAGACTTCCATGATTAAACAACCTTTTTAATAGAAGAAAAGTTTAAAGCATTTGTTTATGGGCTGAAATGTGTACATTTCATATTAACCAATTGACTAAACCAAAGGAATACTTCTATGAAGACAGTGATACTTCATTGGTTCTGGTAGATGGAGATGCTTCTTCTGTGTCCAAGCAAAACAAAACAAAACAAAAATTGCAGACTGTTATGGAAAACTGTGTTCAGAACAGCACATAATATACATACATTCATTCTTAATATTTTTTAGTTCACTGCATTTAAGAATACATATTTACTCTGGACTAAGTTTCATGTTGACTCTTTCCTCAGTGAATGTTCAAGATAGTAGCTGAAATATCAATATGAAGTATTTTATTATATTTTTCTCTATAGAAGTTTATTTAACCATCGGCTTGCACTCTGCTGACACTATAGTTTGTGTTGTCTGTGTGCACAGAAATGGCTTAGGTCAAAGATTTTCAAGCATTTTCATGCTATGGGACCTGTTAGTTTTTAAAAAAAAATTCCTGGAACCCCCAATCAAGAGTCAGAGCTCTAAGTGATAGAGAAATGGCTTTGTTTGAATTAACCTTTGTGTGAGGAGTCTCTCACAGTATCCCATCAACTTTTCATGGAACCTTTCTAGAGTTGCACAAAGCACAATTTGAAAAACCCTGGCTTAGAAGATAGGCGACTGGAATCCAACGTTTCTGGAAGGAACCACAGGCTTCCTACCACTGATAAACAGTATAAATACTATTGAAAATATTTTTGTAGAAAACTAAAACCTCTGCCAAATAATGTTTTACTAACAAAAGAATTATTACTAAGATCATTTTGGTTACTAAACAAGGCTATTTTCTGTTACTAAAATGGCCAGATTAGATTCTTTTCTTTATTCATCAGCAACTTGAATGTTTTACTAGGTGATGTGGACAGATTTGCCTTGTCAGAATTTCCACCTTCTTATATGCTGTGCTATTCTGGAATCTGAAAAACAACAAATAATGGAGAAACATTATGGCTTTAATGAAATACTCAAGGTATCTGTTGCATTAAAGTAAATCTAGACTATTTTTCTATCTTTTCTGTCTTGGTTGTTAAAAAATGAATAGCATTCTATTCTAAATCCTGTAGGAAGTGAGAGAGGTTTAACAAATGTTGGTAGTCAACCATACTTATTCTGTGATGAAAGATACTCATCTTAATGTTGAGTTAGCAGACAACAGTAATATCAAAAGAAACATAAATCAGATTGTTCATATACAGAATGCTGGTTATTTGATTTATAAAGCAAGCAGTGGAACTTCTTTTTTGTCCTGAAGCAACCACAAAATCTTCCTATATGCATTGCCCTAGGACAAAGGCTTCAAGTAGAAATAGGAAGTTCTTGGTAGAACTGGTGGAGGGAAGTTAAGCTATAGTGAGTAAAGTTACCCATGGTTCAATACAAACAAAAAAACATCCAAAGGCTATTCCAATGTATTACTTCTTAGGAAAATGGCAATCCATTATGTTGTCCACTCTCAGTACTCAGTTCAATAGTGGAGGCAGCTGTTGGCTGTGGCTTAGCCCAGAGAACTGACCAGCTTAAAACTACCATATCAAGCATTCTAAATCCAACAGGGTGTATAATTTATGTACTATATTTTACCCAAAAGAAGTCTCTGAATTTAAGATGATGTACACTTCCAGTAAAAAGAAAGATTGGATGAATAAGAGGAAGAATGTTGCTTTGTTACCATATTCTCAATATATCTAAAATGTTCCTTCAATTTTAAGTGTAAATTATTTGGGCAAAGCTAGTCTTCCTTTCACAAACATACATAGAGAACTAAATCTCAATTGTATTCTAATAGTGGAAGTGTATTAATCAAGATAGCAATAACCTTTAAAAGAAAATGCCAAAATTCTGTAACTTAGAAAGTTACACATTTAATATAACACACTTCATCTTTTCCTACACTGACCTTATTTTTTTCTTTATTTTATATTAGCATATCAATGAATTGTCTATGAAAATGGATGTGGAGGATGTACTTTGCAAAGCAGAAGCTGTTTCTATGCAGATGATGAATTGCAAGGTAAAAAGTGAAATGCTTTTTATAAGTAGTATGTGAAGAAATCATGGGTAGCTTAAACTAATCCTTCAAAACATGGACTGCAGTGTTTGGAAGTACACTGCGTGCACAATTATTAGGCAAGTTGTATTTTTGAGGAT